GGTATTATATGGTGAACAAGAATAAGTATAATTATTATTTTTTTCTTATATTGATGAATAAATATATATTTTAAAATCAAATTTATATTAGTATAATCTTTTAACGGAATATATTAATTAGCATGTTAATGTTATGCTAAAATAAATATCATTCATTAAAAAAAATGATGATCCAACCCTATTGTTTTTTGTACCTAAATGTACAAACCCTATAGAAATAACTCATTTAATATATGTCTTGTGCATCGCACGGGCTATGCATTAGTTATTATAAGACCATCTCTAACCGAGACACTCAATTTTTGCAGTACAATTATCTTCGCCCAAACTGCAAACCGATCGGCAAAATGCGTAATTATGCTCTCTCCTTCTCGAACGCAGATTTGAGTTGCAGCGCAAATGCGGATCATTCAAGAAGTGTATGCGGATCATTGTTGACAATTCTTCTGACATAGTGCTAATAATGGACTAGATCAAAATTGCTCAATTAAATTCTAGTGCTTCTTCTATTAGTGAAGTCTCTAGAAAAAAAATATCAAACGACGCAATGCACTTTGGGTCGCTACGGAAACAACATCCTTGTATAATTACAAGAGTAAGGTCTGCGCACAACTGACCCCCCAGACCCCAACCTGTTTGGAAATATACTGGGTATGTTGTTGTTGTTGTTGTTGTTGTTGGTGAGTTACGTGCCATGGTACAGAGTGTATTCCATAAAGATATCCAACATTGCCTTTTGTATTCCAGTAAAACATTTGCATATGAAATATACTTGAAAGTTAGGGAAGATGTACCCTTGAAGCAAAATACTCATCAGACCAAAAATGTTATCAAGCAAACAAACCTTAATAATACTCATCAGACCAAAAATGTTATCAAGCAAACAAACCTTAATAATACTCCAACAAGGACAGTTGGTTGGAGCAAGACAGAACAACATGATTGCCAGATAAGGTGCCAAATATCAGGATTACTTGCTGCAAAACAAATTCCGAATTTTCAGAAACCTCCATAATTCAAACTAGTCTGCTGTTCAAAGGCGCATCAAAAGCATTCATAACTAGACATAAGTTTGTTAAACATTCAACACCATGGAACAATGTCGAAACTGCAAGGGCTACAATAAAGTTAACAAACACAATGGTTGACACTTAAATTCATTCCGTCTATCCATCCCACTCAGAGCTCTGAAGATCAGCAACCGCCATTGCTGGTGTACTTTTGCAGGCGGCAAACTCAAGCGGCTGATTGGTTAATCGGTCCCAACCCATTATGTGAGGCAAAGCAAACTGCAGGGGAGAATAGCATAAGCGTATCATATAACTTTCAATCTCATTTCCACCTATACCACATTTATAGGCAAGAAAAAAAGAGGATTGCTATTTCATCATCTCAGACAGGAAGATAATACACCTA